AGCCACTTCAGCTGACTGCTAAGCTGCAGTTCGGCAGTTCAAATCTCACCAGCTCAAGGTTGACTCAGCCTTCCATCCTTCCGAGGTGGGTAAAAATGAGAACCCAGACTGTGGGGGCAATAAGCTGACTCTATCAACCGCTTAGAGAGGGCTGAAAGCCCTATGAAGCGGTATATAAGTCTAACTGCTATTGCTATTGCTATATAAGTCTAACTGCTATTGCTATTCATTGGCAGAGGGCTGCAGGAGGCCACTGCAGCCGAAAACGGAGCTCGGGAGCCTGTTTTTGCTGGCAGAGTACTCGGGCCACCACAGGTGCCCCCGACATGTGACGTCAAATTGACCACACCCACCCTGGCCACACCCATCCCGCCCTCCCTGAGGTCAAACACAACTCTGATGTGGCCCTCAATGAAATCGAGTTTGACACCCTTGCTTTACAACCAAGGCTTTGAAATTAAGCCAAAAGAGAAACCTTTTGTGATCAGTGCAGGTTGCTCTAAAACCAAAAGACAGATGTACATGATCCTAGCATTCAACTTTTGGTGATTTGTTTCTCTCTCTTTAAATTGAACTTTGAATACGGACCCCACTCTTTCATTCATGCCGCTACTGCTTTGTTTGGTAATTTGGAAAAGTTAGTCCTCTTCCAGAGAAGTAGCTTGGCCCAGGAGATCCTTTCGGGCGACTGCATTTTATCGTAAATTGAGAGTCTTCAGCACAGTACATGACACTTGCCTTCCTTGTTGTCTCAAACGTCGTCCGTTTTTATGGCGGCCCTCGTCTTCAGAGCTCAGGGCAGCGTGAACAAACCTTCTTTCTCCCTCTCATCACGGCCTTCTCTATTTATTTTTATATTCTTATAATCTCATCAGAGCAGACTCTGGGCGGTTAACTTCGCAAGGCATAAAAGCCATAATAAAAATGTGGCAATCAAGACTTAAGTACAAAACCTCATAAAATAATCATAACAATCTAACCGACCCAAATCAAAACAGATCCCATCCGTTATGTCCCCTAAATCCCTCCAAAATAGTTCCATCTTTACTAGGGTTTTTTTTTCAATTACCAGCAGAATATAATGTGGAGAACAATCAAGGTGAGTTGCATGGCTGAGCGGAGTTAGAGATGTAAATCTCCTTGCTCTGAGGCCATTATTCTTGCTATTTTGTCCCTTTATTGCCTCTTCCCTCCCTCTTCCTTCTCTGCACGTTGCTGTTGGGGGTCTCACCTGGCTTGTCTCTATGCGTGGACACGTCAAAACTTTAAAAGCCCCAAACTTTGTTCAACTAAAGAGAATCATTCTGAGTCCGTCTTAACATGGAGGCAGGAAAGACCGAGATCCAAACACCATTATTTTCTCACCCCCCCCCCAAAAAAAGATACATTACTACAGCATTGGTTCCCAATGTATTAATCAGTGTTCAATTAGGGGGAAAGGAGCCAAAACGGGATGAGTGGGGAGTCCTGAAAGGGGCAGGGGGGGGCCAGCCACAGGTGGTATTTGCCAGCTCTCCGAACCACTCAGAATTTCTACTACCGGTTTGCCAGAACCGGACAGAACCGGCTGAATACAACCTCTGGGGATAATAGATGTATACAGTATGTGTTGTTGTTGTGGAGGGGGGTTGTGATGCACCATTTTTTCCTTTTTTCTTTTCATTGTTTTGGGTTTTTTGTCTTTTGGGGGGGAATTTTGTATTTTACCTTT